AGTTTTCGTTACGTTTTTTTTGCGGGAGAATCTTGCTTGCTATAAACATTGCTGCTTAAAAAGAAACTTTCAGTTATTTTTCACGTTAAATCTTCGCTACCTTGAGCTTTTATTTCTGGCTCCCGTTTTTCTATGCTTCCTGTCCTTACGTAGCAAAACTGTTATCACATAACTAATTGAATAAAATTGATGAAGCTTTATAACGAGACAGATGAGTGGTCGTTGCTCCTGAACACAAAATTAAACATCAGGCCTTAGCTCACGATTTCTTCCAATCAGGAATCGCTATTGGTCTTAATTTCGCATGGGATGTGAAATTGCTGGCAATAATCATTCTTAGAGGTTATACATTTGAATTTTATTATATAATTTATTTCAATCAGTGTACTACTTTGTCGCTATTTCCCTTTCCTTCCGAGAATATGCTGGGCCTTCAGGTGTTCCATCAGCTTGAAGATCCGCCTGAACTGCAATCCGCAGACCTTGCACCTGAGGGAGGTCTCCTGGGCCTCAGCGGAAGACCCTCGCTCGGACGCCTCCCTCCGCCGACACCTTCTAAGGGCAGCCAGCCTCTGCCTGTGCACCACGACGTGCTTCACCAAATGAGCCTTTTGCACGAAGAACTTCCTGCAGATGCAGGAAGCGCGGGAAGCAACCGGTATAAAATGTCTGTGTGGTGACAGACCGTTGGATTTTTAGCTGGCTGACTGGTACTTCTCGAGCTGTGGCGGGTTACATCGGTTGTAACAAGTAAGTATATGGTGTGTTGTCATGTATATTGGTTATGTTAAGAAAGATTTGTGCGTAATAAATGTATAATATGGATGCTCTTTTTATGTTGCCTTTTTAGTCAGTCAGTGATGTTAGTTTACTGTTCTTTTATCGTGACTACGGGATCACTTTCAAAACACCAAACGCAATGGAGATTACCTGTAGTTGAATAAACACGCTACCAAATTAACATCCCTAACTCTAGGAAGTTTTGATTATCCACTACAATTACTACTACTGATACTACTGATGATAATAGAACTAACTTGAATTTCATTATCTTTAATAATCATTGTTCACCGGCATAAGAACTAGCTTGTGTTTAATGCATTCAGCACAAAGGAGAGATGGCGCACTTAGCGCCTTATTTCCTTTCCTTTCCCAGAATATGCTGGACCTTCAGGTGTTCCATCAGCTTGGAGATCCGCCTGAACTGCAATCCGCAGACCTTGCACCTGAGGGAGGTCTCCTTGGCCTCAGCGGAAGGCCCTCGCTCGGACGCCTCCCTCCGCCGACACCTTCTAAGGGCAACCAGCCTCTGCCTGTGCACCACGACGTGCTTCACCAAATGAGCCTTTTGCACGAAGAACTTCCTGCAGATGCCGCATCCGAAGGGCTTTTCGTTGGTGTGCAACAGCGAGTGCCGAAGGAGGTTCCCCTTCTGAGTGAAGCGCCTGCCGCAGGTGTCGCATCCGAAGGGCCTCACCTCCGCGTGGACATTCTTGTGAATCAGCAGATGGCCCTTTTGGCCGAACACTTTGCCGCACACGTGGCACCTTACAGATTACCTGTAGTTGAGTAAACACGCTACCAAATTAACATCTCTAACTCTACGGAGTTTTGATTATCCACTACAATTACTACTAATGATGATAATAAAAATAGTTACTAACTTGAATTTCATTATCTTTAATAATCATTGTTCACTGGCATAAGAACTAGCTTGTGTTTAATGCATTCAGCACAAAGGAGAGATGGCGCACTTAGCGCCTTATTTCCTTTCCTTTCCCAGAATATGCTGGACCTTCAGGTGTTCCATCAGCTTGAAGATCCGCCTGAACTGCAATCCGCAGACCTTGCATCTGAGGGAGGTCTCCTTGGCCTCAGCGGAAGACCATCGCTCGGACGCCTCCCTCCGCCGACTACTTCTAAGGGCAGCCAGCCTCTGCCTGTGCACCACGACGTGCTTCACCAAATGAGCCTTTTGCACGAAGAACTTCCTGCAGATGCCGCATCCGAAGGGCTTTTCGTTGGTGTGCAACAGCGAGTGCCGAAGGAGGTTCCCCTTCTGAGTGAAGCGCCTGCCGCAGGTGTCGCATCCGAAGGGCCTCACCTCCGCGTGGACATTGTGTGAATCAGTAGATGGCCCTTTTGGCCGAACACTTTGCCGCACACGTGGCACCTGAAGGACCTTTGGGCGGTGGCATGGGACTTGCGACTCATCCTGGAATCTCGGAAACAACATGACTTTCTGTCTGATCTGAAAGTTATATAGAGAGCTTTCACGTGACCTTGAGGAGTGGGAACGCGGCTTTGAACAAGGCACTGTGAGGGGGAACTCGGTATTGCTTGGAAAAATGATCCTTCACATAAGTGAAGAGAACGTAATCACATTTAACAAGAAACTGCCATAACATTAACTGAAAACCAGTGTTTTCGCTTTGTGTTCACATGACGGAGTCTGTTTTTGTTGACCTTTATTCTTTCTTAACCTTTCGAATCTGGTTTCCGTTTGTTCTTGTTTGACATTCTATCGTGGCAAACTGCAAATTATGTTTTTGTGGCACAAAACTTACCAGTATTAGACGAGAAAGAAAAAATCCTGTGATTCGTTATTGTTAGCAAATAATAACGTTAGAGAATAAGACACTCGATAAAGCAAAGTAGTATTACTAAAGGAAAAGGAATACTTTCGCAATCCTTTTCACACGTGCAAACACACAGGCATGGCGGTTCTCCAAAGAACTGGAGTACTAATACAAGATTACATAATTCTTCTCATTATAGTTGCAGAAATACCTATTTCTAAATACTTTCAAGGAAAGTAATATTCTTATTGGGTAAAGAATCATACATAAGTGATTATTCTCCGGAAGAAAGAGAGAAACCTAATAGGTGCCAAAGTTCGTTACGGTTTTTTACGTGAGAATCTTGCGGCTATAAATATTGCTGTTTAAAAGAGACACTTTCGTTATTTTTTACGTTACAGTGTTTTTTTTTTACATCTTCGCTTCCTTGAGCTTTCATTTCTGGTTCTCGTTTTTCTATGCTTCATGTCCTTACGTAGCAAAATTGTTAACATATTACGACTAATTTTCAAGAATAAAATAAATGAAGCTTTATATCAAGATAGATGAGTGATAGCTGATAGATGAATAGTCGTTGCTCAAGAACACAAAATTAAACATCAGGTTTTTACCTCACGATTTCTTCCAATCAGGAATCGCTATTGGACTTAATTTCGCATGGAATATGAAATTCTTAGAAGTTATACATTTGAATTTTATTATATAATTTATTTCAATCAGTGTACTACTTTGTCGCTATTTCCCTTTCCTTCCGAGAATATGCTGGACCTTCAGGTGTTCCATCAGCTTGGAGATCCGCCTGAACTGCAATCCGCAGACCTTGCACCTGAGGGAGGTCTCCTTGGCCTCAGCGGAAGGCCCTCGCTCGGACGCCTCCCTCCGCCGACACCTTCTAAGGGCAACCAGCCTCTGCCTGTGCACCACGACGTGCTTTACCAAATGAGCCTTTTGCACGAAGAACTTCCTGCAGATGCCGCATCCGAAGGGCTTTTCGTTGGTGTGCAACAGCGAGTGCCGAAGGAGGTTCCCCTTCTGAGTGAATCGCCTGCCGCAGGTGTCGCATCCGAAGGGCCTCACCTCCGCGTGAACATTGTTGTGAATCAGCAGATGGCCCTTTTGGCCGAACACTTTGCCGCACACGTGGCACCTGAAGGAGCTTTGGGCGGTGGCGTGGGACTTGCGGCTCATCCTGGAATCTCGGAAACAACTGATGATTTTCTGGTTGATCTGAAACTTATATAGGGAGTTTGCACGTGACCTTGTGGAGTGGGAACGCGGCCTGAAATAAGGCACTGTGAAAATGTTAGGATAAAATAATCAAGCTCTTTTATTAATGATAATATTTTCCCATGAAGTGAGAAACGGAAAATAGTTTAAAATGAAAATGTATGATTTATATTCCACATCATTTATTTTTATTAGCGGGGAATTTGCCGACAAGAACAATAAAAAACGTGAGTAGATTTCCTGCACACATACACACGCACACACCACATACACAGTACACAGCCGCGTATACACATGGACACACACACACACAACCGTTGAACGCAAGACATATTAACTAATTATGGCAAATCGATACGAGCCTTTTCCTGCGCCGTTTGATTCCCTCCAACTCCAGGACAGCAGACGCCTCCACATCTAGCAGCTTTCTCCGCCTTCCACGATGATCAACGATTCTTCTCTCTGATGCACCTGAAGCTGCAGGCCGTCTGGCCATGCAACATGACGCGTGTCGCGAGGACTTCTGCATGATTCCATATATTCTGTACATTCCTCCATAACAAAGTTTATTTCAGAAACACTGAACGCTTTCTCTTAGCTTTAAGGTACCTTGTAACAAGCCACAAATTTAGGAATTAAAAAAAATCTTTATCTAAAACAGTTTGCAATTTTAAAAGAAAACGCCATTCACTTTCCGTCTGTCAAGATTGCAAGGCGTATAACATCAAGTGCACACTTTCAGACCAGTCAAATTTAACCCTTGATTCGTGTTTTAATCTCTCTTATGTAACCCTTAATTTCGTGATAAAGGTTAAATACAAAAAAAATAAAGAAATAAGGCTAGATATATTGAAGACATACAAGAAGAAAACACTACAGTTCACATGGAGAAATCTGTCGGGATACTGTGACGTGAACCATGTGGTTTGTGAATTCTTCGTCCTTTCTCCCTGGTTTTACGGCGGTGGCCTATACGCTAAACTGAATTCCATTCCCAACACAAACCCAAAACTCGAGGCATTTCTGCTTTCCTGACAGTGTGTGAGACTGGCGGTTAAATCTTGTCATATACCATTTTCATCGAATATCATGACGGCAGTTCATAAGAATGAACAGAAATTTCAAAGTCAAATGCGTCAGTGGACGGTAACCCCGGCCATTCCTTGCACACAGGGGATAATTTAGAAGCAAAAT